AATAAAGTCTGTGTCCACTAACAAAAGACCCCTGGAGGTGAGAAGTTCTGTAATTAATTCTGTGGACCCAAGGCATTGAACCAATGCAGTTGTGTCCTAGCTGATAGACGCTTAGATTTAAGGCACAGAGTATTAACCTGTAGCACTAACCTCCTTTCCCCTGGCTCTCCACCTTCATTCCAGTTACAAGTCACATGACTTTAATCTGATCCATCACAATAGTGAAGATTGGCTCCCTGGTCTGATTGATTGAGTTACTGATCTTAGTGATTGAGTTCTTTTCTTTTAGGCCATCAGAACAAGTCTTAGAACCGAGGCAGGTCACCAAGATATTTGATAGCTGTTTTGGGATTTTGAAGCCAGAGCTTTCACTTCAAGGACACTAATGGTAGAGACACAGCAGAAAGACACATACTCTGGATAGGAGTTTCTAGTTGTGCTCATCCAACACAAGGAAGATTCCATTTTCCTGCTGGCTTCCATGGCTAGTCTTGTAATGGCCTCACATTGCTGCATTTACTTGTCAAAAGCTGTTTGGTTTTCACTTTAGGCCATGGATCCCTGTTCATAGCTGCAGGCTAATGGGGAATCTAGGGCTGTGGGTGTCCTGATACTAAGCCAACTAGGACTCTGAGCAGCAGACTGGGCTGTTGTCAGGGTAGAGGTGATCCTTCCCCTCCTCAGTACTGTGGACCATCCCAAAGACAACTGTCCTAGTACATGTCCTTTGAGTCCTGTCATTTAAATTCTGGCCTGATAGACATTCAGATTTTACATATGAAAGAAAAGAGGTGATTGGCTTTTGGGACTTGTTTGTCATATACAATACAGTCATCTTAAGATGCATTGTTTTCTGGAAAATTTCAAATACTGATACTGACTATGTGCTGTTAGCTCCACATCCACTTCATGTATTAATTTTATCTTTGTATTTGAAACTGTCCTCTGTCCTTTACATTTGGCACAATAACTTGTTTCTCTAAGAGGGTAGGCAAATTTAAAAATATGACGTCAAAATGCCCAGTCCCACACTACTCCTAGTTTCCATGTAATTGCCATTCCTAATTGTTCTAATTAATAAAAATTTGGAGTCTTATATGGAAGAAAATGATGAGATATCAGAGAGAAGGAGCAAGCTAAGGCCATAGCTTACCTCCTCAGCAACTCAGCAGAAAAGAGAGTTCATTCCTGTTTGCCCCTGTTATATTCTTCCCAACTATCTCATTTGCTATCTGTCTGTACAGACCTCTGTGGTTAGTTAGTGGCAAGCTTCATTCTCTGATTCTCGGTCAGCCTTTCTTTGTACAAGCAAGATATCACCACATAGTTCTGTTCACCTCCCAGTGGAGGACTGTGTGTCCCAGAGATGTTCAGTAGCTTGCTATTTTGGAGGGAACATGAGTATTTGTAACAGGGTTTGAGTTCTTTAACTCAGCTACTCTGACAATTGTGGTAACAGCCTGGGTCACTTGAAGTCTTGTAGAATTGCAGAATTGTAATTGACCTTCCTTTCTCTCTGTATATCTCCAGGTTTTGTTGGACATATTCTGTGACAAAGCTCCTTTCACCATATGTGCATCCTGTGACATCTAGGTAAGTGTCCAATGATAAGGGTTGCTGGAAGCACAGGGCCTAGGTACTGACATGGTGGTAGTAAACTGCTTCTCCTTAATACTAGAGCCTTTATGGGACAGTAGCAAGGATTCAATTACAAGTGTCAATCAGAGCTTACTAGGAGACCACACTGAATTCTACCTCAGGAAATCACATGGGACATAAATGGATATTGCCCCTTCCTTGTTAGGTCCTGAATTTCGCAAAGATAAACCTGCTATTATCTGAGAGGCCACAGGTCTAGGGCTGGTGAATGTTCTGCAGTATCATTCGATGTCTAAAATCAGCTTTCTCTTGTCTGTGCCTGGTCACAAAGTGAGTCATGAACCCTCAACTCCTGACCTGCAGATGTGCACATTGAGCATTTGTGATATTTAAACAGCAGTGTGTCTCTCTACTCCCATCTTCTGGAAGATTACCGTATCAATCCTGAGGTCCAGAGAGCTCAGAGTTTACATAGTGCATCAAGAGGACACGCTGTGAATGACCATTCAATGGTCACTCTTCCAAATTCTAAGTGCAGACAACGACCCAAATCACCAACAATATCTGTGGAATCTATCGGAGGGTCCACTAGTGAAAGTTTCCCAGTGGGGAGATATTTTGAATTCCTGCCCCCGATCAACATAGACTGCTCTCCTTTCTGACAATGTTGAAAGTTAACTATACCTCGGTGTCTGCAGGATAACCCAGAGAACATGTCTGAAAGGGAAAGAAAGGGTCTCAGAAGAGCCTTGGGAAATGAATGGGTTCCTCTTTTTTTTTTTTTTTTTTGTTTATTGGTTTTTACGACACAGGGTTTCTCTGTACTATTTTGGATATTAAGAAGGGTAGAGTCCATGGAGCCCTGCCCCAGGCAATCAGTAACTTAAAGAAGGAGACATTGAGGACATACAGTTGAACAATTCTCAGTGGTATTTGAGACAATGTACAAATAAGTAGTGAAGCACTCAATCAGAATTCGTATACAATTTCTATAAATTGGCATTCAGAACATTTTACATTTGCCTGAGAGATCTCCAAATTATTTGCTCTTCATTCCAACAGTTGCTATTCTAAAGGTGTTAGACCTTTGAATTTCATCTATAGAGTCATTAAAATCTAGTCTGATGCTCCAACACCTAATATAACAATCAGTAAGACCTAACCTAGGAGAGATGTCAAGGGCAGGCGATTCCTCCAGGCCCAGTGTCGGTTTCCAGTGTCTCCCCTAATGCTTCAGAGTTCCAGAGAGTTTACAGGGACATAGAGGAGACTGGAAACATGGAACAGGTAACAAAACTAACCTTGTCACTGATGTTGCCATAGTCACCCATGTATTTTAAGGCAGAGAAAAGGGCTCTAGAATATTATTTAAGGATATAGAATAGCGAACCAATTGGAAAATTGAAAACAGTCTCCATTTCAACTGACCCCAATGTGAGTGAATTCACATAAATGTCATGGAAGATATCCCCATCTGTTCCTGCCTGATATGGAGAAAGATCATATATAACATGGAAAACATGTAGAAAAGAGAGCTCTGATGCCATGGGCCATGAAAATTCAGAAAATTGGTACAGGGCTTCAGCAGACCCTTACCTATGACATCTAGAGAGAGCCTGAAACCTGATGCATCCCAGGAGACAAAAAAATCTCTCTCAGTGCTCACTGAATCGTTATGTTGAGGTGGAAGTGTAGTGTGTGCTGTTTGCTGTGATGAGGGCTGATACCTCTACCATTGGGTGGGATGGAGACAGCTGTCCTTCTGCATCTTATAATAACACTGTATTGGAGGGTAAAGTCAGGTGGGGAACCTTCGGGACCTGATACCTAGATACTCATGTGTGCTCTCCATGCTCCTCCCTTTTTACTCCTTAAACATTGTCAGTTTAAGGACACGAATGACACACACACTCATCATATAATTTTCAAGGGTCAGGCCTAGATAACTACTCCTGTACTGACACATATGCCTCCTTACCTGATTAGGTACAATACAATACTGGTTGTCAGAACCCATTGATCAACACTCATCACATACCATACAGCCTCAAATAATCCCTAAATATTGGCCATGCAGTAGTTCCCATCCAGCCACATGCTAAGTTCTAGGCATCAATTTTTGCTGAGCAAACAACCCCCATGCGGCTCATAGATCCCTAGGCATTGAACTCTGAATGACACTGACTGAACCCCACATTAAGTTCTAGTTTTTGGGCTGTGCTGGATAATCTGCCACTCTGACTAAAATCCTTAGCTCTTATTGGGCTCCAAAAGACACCATCACACCATGAAAGACAGACATGCACTGAAAGATATCAGGCCCTCACATAAGTGAGATTCTCCAGTGTTAATATCAGTTGTTGTAGGATACCTCATGACATCAACTCATATACGGGTTTAGGATGTTAAACTTGCTTGGTATTGAAACAACACTCAGGCCATGACACATCCTAAAATGATAGCTCAAGGCCCTTTAAATAATCATCCACCTACAGTAGTCTCAACTTCATTGATAAGTATCATGCCGGGTGATTACCCTGATGCCTCACAATTACCCATCCATTTAGGTATCCCTGGATAACAGAGCAGCCTCTGCCAATCTACTCTAATATTAACAGGCCTGGATAGAAACAAATTCATCTCATCATCTAAGACATATTTAATACATAAGGTGCCCTGCTATATGCCCTGTCCTAGTCCTCCCCACTGATATGCACAGTTACTCATCAGAACCTTTAAACACTCACCACTCCTATGACCAAGCATGTACTTCTGGGTATCAGGTGTTCTTTGACCTACTACCACACAAACTACTAGCTGTCAGACTACGCTGTGAACTTCACCTCCTGCCACACTCATGAAAATGCTTGCCCAGTATTGACACATCCTACCTCTGTGCATGTCACAACTTCAGTGCCAGTCACCATTTCTGATGGACTCCTCCTGGACTCCTTCTCAAGCACACGAAGTGCTGTGGATCAGGTTCTACTAGTGTTACTGTGCCATGCTGTGTTTTAACTTCTACTGCAGTGGCATACACAGTGATGTCTATCAAGTCACCTGACCTCCAACCTGCCATCCCATATGATGTGCTAAGGTTGAGAGCAAGCTCATCACACATTCTTACTCTATACTCCTGCCCAACAAACACTGCTATAAGCATGCCCAGATAGAAACACACACACACACACTATGTGCCTGGTGCTTTTATGCATTTTGTCTCATATAATCAAAGGCAAGCACCTATGGATTTATGACTCACATATGATCTTACATTATCATTGTTCTGCTACAAAATTGGAAGGTATTTAGGCCATTCCACCCATGATGCTGAGTTCTACCTTAATTCCAGCAGTCATGGCTTTTCTATGACCAATGATGACCATAGGGGTCATACTTACAAGGAATCCTTGATCATGATGCAACCCTTGAAGACAGCCACAGATTCAGTGTGAAGCAGTGGCGAGTGTAGTGTGAACTGTTTTCCCGGAAACCTTTAGGTAGGGAGCAGCTCAGTGAGTTCTTAAGGGGAACTGAACTCAACAGGGATTCCCAGGCCCTGATCTGTGTGAATCATTACTGAATTTAAGATTGAGTACAGTAAGTATCTTTTTGTGGGAGAGGGTGAGATTCAGAAGCCTGGTCTTGATGTCCTGAAGAAAAAGGAGCATATCAGGTGGCCTATGCTAGAATAGCCAGCACAGAGGGACAGTTACCATTGACCTGCTTGACTGAAGAGTACTGACAGAATGAGACTGCAGATGTGTGGAAAGAGAAGTTCTATCTTCTTTTGAGCTTGGCATCCAGCTTACCTTCTGATCATCTGATCCTGGCATTTTCTCAAGCAATGGTGCAAATTGAATTTGTTGAGCACATCTTCATTCCTGCATGATGACAGGTAGGTCATGCTGTCACATCCCTTCTAGAACTCTGACCGTCTGATGAGTACCATGTGCACAGAACAAGTAGCAGCTTGCATAGTGGATTACAGGGATTTTCAGTTTATGGGAATCACCTGTGCTCATGCCTTGTTTCTCATGCAGATCAATGATGCCAGGTTGAATCAGGAAATGAGACAGGGAAATATCCTGAATGCCCATTTTGTATTTTATATTTTGAGAGACGATTCCCTATGGTACCTGGCTAACATGAGCCTCTCTGTGTAGAACAGGCAGATCTCAAAATCACAGAGATCCAAGCCAGCTTCGACTCCTGAGTGCTGTCTGTCTTCAAGAACTGTATAGCATCAATGGCAATTTCTTCCAAACATGTTAGGCAGAATCTTACCATTTTTTTCTTTTTTCATGTGGATAGGGTCAGGGTTGTACCTGAAGGAACATTCATCAAGGAAGGACTTGAAACAGGGGGCTAACTGCAAATGTGACTTGCAGAATAGAGTCTGTGTCCACCATAAGTGTTGTCAGCAATGCTTTTGTGGACACAAGGCAGTTAATTGAAGGAGGTATGTCCTAGCTGGTAGATCCTTGGATTTAAGGCACAGAGTATTAACGTGTAACAGTAACCCTGTTTCACGTGACTTTCATATGATCCATCAGAATAGTGAAGATTGGCTCCTGGGTATGTTTGACTGAGTTCTTTCCTTTTTTTTCTCCAGATTTATTTTGGTAAAAAAAAATCAGATATAACCTTTCACAAATTACATTAATGTTTAACATGCATTCAAATAACTTTCTTTTTTTCCAGTTTAAATTTAGATAAGAAACGAGGTTGCTTCACAAGTCAGTTTCAGGTCCCGCTCCCATTCCCTCCCCTCCTCCCGTGCCATCCACCCAACCCCCACATTATCCCCTCATTCCCCCAGGGAGCGTGAAGCCCTCCATGGGGGTGCCTATAGTCTGTCATTTCATATAGGGCAGGGCCTAGACCCTTCCCCAAGAGTTCAGGGTGAGAGTGCACCTCACATTGTTCTATGGGAGTCCAAAGTCCGTGTGTATACTTGGGATGGCTACTGATCTGCTGCCCAAGGCTCAATAGATTCCTTAGGCCTCCTCACTGACACCCAGATTCAAGGGGTCTTGATCAGTCCCATGCTGGATTCCCAGGCTGATGCCTGGGATTCAAGAGTTAACCTTTGTCTGGTCAGCTGTTTCTGGGGGTTAAACCAGCCCAGTCTTAATCACTTTGATCATCAGTCCTCCCTCTCTGTTACTGGCTTTCTTGAGTTCAGCTCAGTACTTAACCAGGGAGTCTGCCTCTTCTTCGATCAGCCACTAAATAAAGTTTCTGTTTCCCAGACTCTCTGGCCATAGGATTGTAGGCTGGCACTCCCCAGATCTAGGTCTAGAATCCATATATGAGAGAGTACATGCCATGTTTCTCTTTTTGTGACTGGGTTACCTCACTCAGGATGGTTTCTTCTAGTGTCATCCATTTGCCTGCGAATCTCATGATTCCATTATTTTTTTCTGCTGAATAGTACTCCATTGTGTAGATGTACCACATTTTCTCTATCCACTCTTCGGGTGAGGGACATCTAGGTTGCTTCCAAGTTCTGGCTATTACAAATAAAGCTGCTATGAACATAGTGGAACAGACATCTTTGTTGTATGAATGGCATCTTTTGGATATATGCCTAAGAGTGGAGTTGCTGGGTCTTGTGGTAGGTTTATTCCCATTTTTCTGAGGAATCTCCATACTGATTTCCAAAGTGGCTGAACCAGTTGGCACTCCCACCAGCAATGGAGGAGTGTCCCCCTTTCACCACATCCTCTTCAGCATAAATTGTCATTGGTGTTTTTGATTTTAGTCCTTCTGACAGGAGTGAGATGGTATCTCAGAGTTGTTTTGATTTGCATTTCCCGGATGGCTAAGGATGTTGAGCACTTTCTCAAGTGCCTCTCAGCCATTTTAGACTCCTCTATTGAAAACTCTCTATTTAGTTCTGCAGCCCACTTTTTAATTGGGTCCTTTGGTGTTTTGGAGACTTGCTTCTTGAGTTCTTTGTAAATTTTGGAGATCAACCCTCTGTCAGATGTGGGATTAGTGAATATTTCTTCCCATTCTGTGGGCTGCCTTTTTGTCTTGCTGACTGTGTCCTTTGCTTTACAGAAGCTTCTCAGTTTCAGTAGGTCCCATTTATTAATTGTTGATCTCACTGTCTGTGCTACTGGTGTTATGTTCAGGAAGCTGTCTCCTGTACCAATTCGTTCAAGGGTACCACCCACTTTCTCTTCTAAGAGGTTCAGTGTGGCTGGATTTATGTTGAGGTCTTTGATCCATTTGGACTTAAGTGTTGTGCATGTCGATAAACATGGATCTATCCACATTCTTCTACATGCCAGTCTCCAATTATGCCAGCACCATTTGTTGAAGATGCTTTCTTTATTCCATTGTATATGTTTAGGTTCTTTGTCAAAGATCAGATGTTCGTACGTGTGTGGGTTAATACCCGGGTTTTCAATTTGATTCCATTGGTCTACCTGTCTATTTTTGTGCCAATACCAAGCTGTTTTCAGGACTATAGCTCTGTAATAGAGCTTGATGTCAGGGATGGTGATGTCAGGACGTTGCCTTGTTGAACAGGGTTGTTTTGGCTATCCTGGGTCTTTTGTTTTTCCATACAAAATTGATTATTGTTCTTTCAAGGTCTGTGAAGAATTGTGCTGGGATTTTAATGGGGATTGCATTGAATCTGTAGATTGCTTTTGGCAGGATTGCCATTTTTACTACATTGATCCTACCTATCCAAGAGCATGGGAGATCTTTTGATTTTCTGAGGGCTTCTTTTAATTTCTTTCTTTAAAGATTCAAAGTTCTCATGATACAGGTCTTTCACTTGTTTGGTTAGCATTACCCCAAGGTATTTTATGTTGTTTGTGGCAATTGCAAAGGGTGATGTTCTTTCCTTTGGCACCAGCTACATCAATCCTTGAGTACCCTATTAACCCAGTGGTGTGTTAGGTGCGGTGGCTACTAAAGTTTGAAGGCACGATATGCGTGTCCATCCTTACCAAAGGATTGTGACCACAGACCGAGCCACCACCAGCAACTAACCTATGACCTTCTAACCTCTGAACTCTTCACCAGTGATGACCTGACCATGCCTGCCTGCTGATCCGTTAACTGGTGATCGCCTTTGCTTGCCTGTCTTCAGTGCAGCGAGCTGAGGCACTTGTCCGTTCGTCTTACCATCTGACCAAACAAAAGACAAAGAAATTGTCCTCCAACTCAGCTTTTCCCCCGTTTGGGTGAAAGTGGTTCTAGAACCTGCACTGAATAGTAGTAAAGCAATAAGGCCCGATTCATCTCACAGCACTGACCATCATTCAATGCCCCACCCCAAGCGAACGGTAAGAAGGACTCTCGAGAAGGGGAGACAGATGGCCCTAACTACTCAATGACAGAGGCAGTTACTGTGAGAGACTTGTAGGAATCTTTTTCCTCTCATAGCGAAGTCAAAGCTCTCTCTGAATGTACTGTGTGACAATGCATCATGCATGAACCTTCGGTCAGGGATGTCATTGGTGAAGTGACTTCAAAAGTATTCAAAATTTGACATGCTGTTTGTTTGGTCACTACAGTGCCCTCAAAGGGCAGAAATTGCAGCCTTTTTTTATATTGCTTGCCAAAATTTGAAGTATTAGAACAAAGTGTACCATGAGAGAAAAACTTAACAAGGACTTTTGAAAAGTAATGCAAAGAGCAAAACTGCGACACCATTTTTAAAAAGTTGAGTATCTGAGTTAAAATTTCCAAATCTTTATTTTATGCCACCTTAAAAATTATACAAGAACAAGGTACATGCATTATGTGTCACATTAATGGACAAACTGTTCAAATATTTTTAAACCTCCCTGTATAGAAAATATCATTAAGGATGTAAAAGCCATGCTTGTCTATTTGCTGTATACATGTAATGAAATTGTAGATAAAGTGTAGTGCATTGAAACACATGAACAAAAAGTAGATACTTTTACTCTACAAGGGTGCTGGTGCAGAGAAATATATGTATATTTTTGGAAATGAAGCATTTCATATTTTCAAGTGTTATAAAAAAAGAAAAAGAACAAAGAAACCCTTTATTTCATTAAATGATTTTTTTCTGGTGGTTGTCAAGAAACAAACGACCAAAAGAGCATTTTTGTCTTGTTTTTTATTTTTTAAGTATTGGAATTAGTCTAAAGAAAAAGAAAGTGTCTTATTTTCCTTCATGGTCATTTAGTCAAGTGTCCTGCAGGATCAGCTCCTTCCTCAGAGTAAAAGTTAGTGTATGTCCTCCACCGCCCAGTATGTGAAAGGAGATAGGAGGGGAAACCGATGAGTTGATGGTCTACATTATATGATCTGTGTCACGATATCTTGATGTCAATTTGCCAAATCTGATACTGTGAAAAAAATGTGATAGCTTTTCTAATGTCTGACTGGTAAATTTTAAAATGTAATTCTTTTACAAATCATAATTGAGTAGTTTTTGTTATTACCGATTTCAGTGTTAGCCCAGAGGAATCTGAGGTTAGAAAAAATTATGTGAGATCTGAACATCAGTTTACAGACAAAATTAAATTAGAGCTTTATTTTATTTAGAGAAGAGGGATATATTGGATTTTTTTCTTAGTAATTGGAGGTGATTGTAATATGCCTAACAATGCTTTTTTCACAAAAACAAATCTTTGAAATTTGTTTTTGTGTGGAAAAAAGTGTTAAATAGTCCTAATTTAATCAGACTTCATGTCATACCAAATACATTGTGCAGTCCCTCTCTGCTGGCTTTAGTAACTGCTCCTAAACACACCTTTTTGCCTCCCTTTGTAACTTTAAAGGAATGTGGAAAGCTAACCTCCCAGTGCATATAAACACCCAGCTACACTTCTTTTTATCTTCAGTTTCTCACAAAGTTGAAGCAGTTTTGTAGTGAGCAGTCTGTATGCAAAGCCCGCATCTAAATACTTGAGTTGATGAATCATTAACTGCTCAGTACCAGATGTGGCAAATGTCAAGTGATAGTGGATTCCTGGCTCATCAACTCATGCCCCCTTCCATACCTTCATGGCTTCACAGTCAAGGTCAGTAGGAAGCTCCTCGGGCACCTTCATGGTGACCTCGCCATTACTGTATCTCACTTGGAACCATTTTCAGTTTATTTACTATGCAGTAGACAGTCCTTGTTTTGTCCTCAGCCAGCTTTGGTTTAATGTCCACTGCTTTGTCTTTCTGTTACACACGTGGTGATTTTGATTTGTTTACAATATATGCTGGGCCATTTTTAGTTTTATTTTGTTTGGTTGGTTGAATAACTTTGGGACTCTCAGAACACTTGAGGTGATAGTAAAAAACAACAACAACAACAAAAACCCCACAGTACCAGTATTTGATCCAGGCTCATCTCAGCTGTGTTATACCTGGACATTTTAGGTGTTTATCAAAGGTCTTTCATGGGGAATAACACAAATGTGTAAAACAATAGACAGGTGACATTTATGAGTAATGCTGGCTCTGAACAAACTTTCGAAAACTTAGTTGGCAGTGTTTTGAGTCAATTGAAAAAGCATGACTTTTGAAATCTCTGAATGCCTTTGTTCTCAGTATTATCACTATTGAATTCTT